CACTACAATAGCTTCTTCACCTTAAAAATATTATCTGTCAAGCTATACGCGTATACTCGGTTTTTCTGATATATTTATTTAAAGTTGCTTCATATTTTTCGATTAATATTGAAGTCATATATTCAATGCCTATAATCATAATCCTCAGCTATCATGAGTTGATGATATGTAATTGACAAAGTGTATATCCTATTATTGTTAATTGTCATTTCCATATAATGCAATTATTGTTTTTACATAGATTTAAAGCCTTTTCTAGTTAAATTTTGACTAATATCGCGGACATTAGTAAAAACTCATTACTTGTAACGTATTCTTTTTTAGCACTAATTAAATTCACCCTTGTTTTTCTTTTCTCTAATGTTTCCCGTAGTTTATATCATGTAACGATGTCTTAAGTTTTTTTGGGCTATTTTTTTTAAATCATCTGTTTCACACAAATCAATTGGTAAACAGTCCTCTTCTTGTAGTGCCTATCCGTTTTGAATGATGACCCAATGATGCGACCATTATGACAATCTCTATTTTGCAAACTGCTGCTCTGAAAAGATTTGTAATTGTTGTTTTGAACAACGTAAGTAGATTTTTTTAGCCAGGAAATACTTTGCCTTTCTGGTCTTCGTTTTTCTTGTACAATAGAGTTTATCTACCTATCCTAAATCATATTTGTTTCTCGGCTTCGAACTTTATATATGTTCTATTTCAAACTATTTTTTAGCTATATTTTAAAAAGGCCATATCATAGGTTTCGCAACAATCTAAATCAAAAAGTGCATATTTTAGCCCTCCGTATTATAGCCCGAAAGTATTATAAATAAATAATAATCAAAAATTTTCTACAGACTGTGGAGTTTCTAACATTGGCCTTTATAATACAGAGTAAGTTTTAATAATTATTTAACCAACAAGTGTATTAATAAGGGCGATTAATAATTGAGATATTTTAATTTATTATATTTTAATAATAAGTTAATGTTCGAGATTGTTAATCGCAATTTTAATTCACGAGTTCGTTACAAAACTTTGCCGTCGACCGTACTTTTCTGAAATAAAGATATCTTAGTTTAAATTTTTATTTACTTAACGATTAACAACAATTTTTTCAGCTTTCATTAAGTTTATTTAAAGTTTAATTTTCCTTACTGGTAGTTTTATTATTGTAAACATTAATATTCGTAATAGTACAATTACTGAAATTAAAGGAAGCTATTAATAAATGGATATCTGCTGTATAGTATTTTGACAAATTTATATTTGGGTCTTCTTGGACCTCTGTAAATTCTGTGATGGAAGAAGTAGCGGTGGTGCTAAAGAAAGTACTTTAACAAGGTTTAGTATTTTGTCCCAAAAGTTTTTCAGCCGTCTCAAGTTTATTCTGCATAGAATCATCTATATAACCTTTTGCTACAGCAGTTGACTTCCATCTACCTAGTCTTTTGATAGCTGAAAAGTCTGCACGACTGTCACACAGTATTGAGATAGAGGAACGTCTAAAAGAATGCCCAGTGTAGAGATGCGGGTGCTCTAATTTTAAGAATTTGCCAATAACGGAAGGTGTTTTTGATTTCTTTGGTACATCACCTGTTCTTTTTTTCTTAGTAAACATAATTTACTTATTATATTTAGATATATCAATGTTTGATTTTAAACTTAGGGTTGATTTTAGCATCAAATATTTGGGCCACAAACTTGCTATTAGACCTTTTTCGGCAATGTTTGAAAAATATATCAACAATACAGATTCTGAATATCGTATTATTTTTCTCTCGTCACACCATAAAATAAATTCAGCGTATGTTTTTTCGTACAACACTCTGCTTTTTCCAGGCAGTAAACTTAAAGATATTTCATTTGCATTTTCTGCCACTTCTTTTGGAGTTAAATTAAACTCTTCGTCAATAATCCAATTTTGATTTTTCAAATACACAGAATTTTAAACAATAAAGTAAATAATTACATACAATGACATATAGTACTAACAGTAACTACTTCATTTTAATTTTTTTAGTGGGAATATAAATAGGTATATGTTTGGTTGTCTACACTACAGGTAACTGCCAATCACAGAGCGTTTAATTAATTTATGCAAGCAATGTATATTGTGTTGCCTATAATGAAATCGTTCATTAATAGAAAATCATAATAGGGCTTATTAATCAGTGATTTTGAGGGTGTTAAAATTGATCATAAATGGACGTCTACAGAAAAAATACAATAATTATTGCAAACTGTTTTACCCACAGCCTATACCACTAAGTATTTTGCATAATGAAAGTTTGTTGGATACTAATCAATATAATGGTATTTACTGATAGTTTTAATACAATAGTAATAGTATAGTAAAAGTAAAGAAAGATTTTAAATATGACAAAATAATAGTTTTTCTTTATTGTAGTTCCAGTTGTTTACAACAATACAGGATGATTTTTTCATTACGAAAAAATTTTTTTTAAAAATGCTGTTTATTCCTGGACTATCAAAAATAATGACAAAGTTTTATTACTTGAACAGGTGATAAACTGTCTTATATATTTACATGTACCAATTTATATTTAGGTTTGTTTCGGAAGCTTTTGACATATGTTTTTTAGTGTATTGCACCAGATCAGGAGAATGGTGAAATTATTATTTTTGATTTTTTTCATTAATTCTTCGAACTGTCAAACTGATCTGGAGTATTTGCAGCAAATATTAGAATTTGTAGGCTCTTATCAAACGTACGAACCACCAACAAATAATGCAGCATTAATGAATACAAGTGATTCTACACTACATGGTGAGTAAATTATAATGCAATCCTCCGTCTATAAGGCTATAATATATAGCTTAAAGTTAATAGTGTATAACTAAAAATGACTAAAATGCTAAACATATAAGATGACCAGACATTTAACACAGTTTTTAACAGCGTGCTTCCAAGTGGCACATAAACGAGGTATCTTTTATTCCAGCAGTACCGTTACAGTCGTAGATCAAAGAGCTACAGATTAAACTATTTCTTAATTTGGTTTGTAAATAAAATGTTTTGATTATGACTTAAATTTAATACAAAACGTAAAATGTTTGATGTCAAAATCCAATTATTCTGTTATTTTATCAAATCCTATTATTAATTATCCTGCTGATATATTTATTTTATTTAATATTTCGTTAAATATTGACTTGATTAAAGGTATTTTATAACAAAATTTAGAAGTATTAATGTTTTAATCTATTTTTATTTCATTGTCTGGAGTAATTGCGTTAAATCAGAATTATGCAGTTGATTTGTAAAATGCGATTATCTCGAAAACTGTTGAGTTTTGAAGTTATTAACAGGTATATCATTTTTTTGTTAAAATCATGTATCTTTAATATTTTTTATCAAAAATATTGGTAACTTGAAGAACAAAAAAGTTAAGTGCAAATGTATGCCACGTGTATGGCATATGTAGCGCCCTCTATTAGGTATATTAAAGTATGCATTAAATTATAATTCCTGATATTCAATAGTACCCAACTGTAAATTTTTATACATAAATGTTTACAAACATAAAAGTTATAGCGAAAAATAAAATTTTAAATTTCCAATTGAACACCCTGTATCTTTTTTAATATCAACATTTTATTAAAGCAAGTTGGCTTAAATCGTAATATTTTAAAGTGTACAATCTTCGGTTGCTGTTTCTGTACAATTACTTAAGGACCACCTTATATGTTTATATAATATATAAGTGAGGTGTCACTTCACTACAGTAGTGAAGTGACTAGTAATAAGTATAGTAATGTCTGGGTACTCGGGAGACTGAGACCTCCGAAGCCCTTAAGAAGACATCAGACAGGATGTCGAAAGTTCGGCCCAATGGATATCGACGCGGTTCAACTCGGAAGACTGGAGAGTTTAATATTAATTTTTTTAATAGCATTACTCTTAGCTTTAGCTATCTATAGCGCCATCTATACGAAATAACAAGAAGTCGAGAGACCTCTCTTATAGCAAATTAGGTGAACCGTAAATTCAAAGCCTCTTGCTAGAGGCTTTAAACGACGCTAGAAGTATCCTTTTACTTCCACATGCATCTTATGTCTCTCGACTTCTTGTTATTTCGTATAGATGGCGCTGCTAGCGTACCCTCGCTGTTATTTTGGTTATAATGACCAAATACTAGACTGCATTTCATTTCAGTTGTACTTCCACAAGTGCTCCTGACGATGGGTTGAATAACCCGAAACACTTGTCGGGCAATAATGGAGTTCCGATTGAAATGAAATGCAATTTTTTACTTTCATTTAAACGCCTTTCTCTACATAAAGAGCGAAAAAAATGGTTATTTTCAAGGTGAATCGTAGATGCATATCGAAGTAAAAGGATACTTCTAGCGTCGTTAAAAGCCTCTGGCAAGAGGCTTTGAATTTGCGGTTCACCTAATTTGCTATCAGAGGGGTCTTATTATTTCGTATATATATATATATATATATATATATATATATATATTATATATATATATATATATATATATATATATATATATACATATACATATATATACATATATATATATATATATATATATATATATATATATATATATATATATATATCTATATATATATATATATATATATATATATATATATATATATATAATATAGTATATATATATATATAAATATATATATATAGTTGTGGTAAGGTACAACTCTTATATAAATTAATACTAACCAGACTTGCGAGTTAAACCGCCTCCATTATTTCTATGCCGAACTTTCGGCATCCTCTCTGATGTCTTCTTCAGAGCTTCCAAGGTTTCAGTTTTCCATGGCCCCAGACACTACTTTACTGACCACTAATCACTGCACTACTACCGCAGCCTAAATGTAAGATAATGCTATCACAATATCTTACATTTAAGATATATATCTACATTGTTTATAACTCGTTTATGAGTAGTGGTTAATTACATAAAAGCTAAAATTTATTTAACACATATCCATATTTACTGTTTGTTTACTTGTTTTAGATTTCGGTGTATTTGATTTCATCATTGTTGGTGGGGGTGCTGCTGGCTGCGTATTAGCCAATCGACTTTCTGAAATCCCTAGCTGGAAAATTTTGTTGATAGAAGCAGGAGACCAAGGAAATACTGTTACAGATATTCCTGCTATGTTGGTATACTCAATAAACTCTCCATTCAACTGGGGTTATAAATCCATCCCGCAATCACAGTGTTGCCAAGGTAAGTAAATATACTCAGAGGTGCAAAAAATTCGATTCACGAATATTTAAAGAGAAGCAAACACATTTTGGAGGTGATAAAGGTTTGGAGGTACATTAAATGTAAAGAAGAAAAATTTTTGCGAAAAAATTATTTATTTACAAAATCACATGGCATCATTCTAAAATTGAAAAATGGAAAGGAATTAAAATGTTGATAAAACACATTTATAAAAAATAATGTTTATGTCATTTGTTAATAATATCCTTATTTTATAGTAAAAACCTTTGTTAATAAAAATAGTATTTTATCCTTTTGCCCTTATAACAGCCTACAGCCGTCTTGGCATAGTGTTAATTAAATTTTGAACGTACAGTTGGTCCAATTCACCCCATATTGTCTTAAGAGCCACAGTAAGCTGAGGAAAGTTGATTGAGCGAGGTAGCCGAATTTAAATTTATCTTCCCAGTGTGTCTTATAGATGTTCGATTCGCATTTTTTGGTCGAGACTGGAAGTTGGCCAATTCATAAAAAAAATGAATCCATTCATTATGAACGTTGTCGTATATAATAAATGGAGCAAATGTAAAGTGTACTCATCAAAATGGTTGTTATATACCTTGTTTTGTCATAGAACCTCCATCCATAAAAATTAAGTCAGTATGGGGCATCACAACTTATACCAGCTCAAACAATAACTGCTCTATAGGTTATTCTGTCGGCAGTACATTGGACAGATAGTTCTTCTTGTCTTTTGCAGATGTTACTCTCCTAAGAGAACAAACTAGAAACATGCCAACCAAGAGAACAGGCAGGTTTCCGCTTTGGGTATGGTACAAATGACCATCTAACTTGTCTAAAGACCCTAATTGAAACAACTATAGAGTACAACCGGCTACTAGTTCTAGTATTTGTTGACTATAAAAAAGCCTTTGACACTATCGAGATGGTAGCTATGTTAAGAGCTTTGAGAGATTGTAGAATCGACTACCGATATACCAGCAATATTCAACATATATATGCAAATGCCACAAACAGCAATAAACCTCCACACGCCTACTCAAAAAATAAAACTAAAAAGGGGAGTTAGACAAGGAGACAACATGTCACCAAAACTATTCAATGCCGTAATGCAGCATGCATTCCAGATGTTAGAATGGGAAAAGAGAGGTTTGAGTGTCGATGGCGAAAGGCTGAACCACCTACGATTTGCAGATGACATAGTTCTAATAACCGACGACCTAAAGGAGGCCAACGAAATGCTACAATATTTACAACGAGTCTCCCAAAAAGTAGGGCTGGAAATAAACTTTGCGAAAACTAAAATGATGACCAACTTAGTACCTAGTGGACCATTGAAACTAAAAAACTGGCATATTGAAACGGTTGACAAATACATATATCTGGGCCACGAAATACAAATAAGTAGAGACAACCAAACATGCGAATTATCTAGAAGAATAGCATTAGGATGGGCAGCCTATAGTATAAGTAGCACAACGAAAAATGGAAAGATCTATGCTTGGCGTAACTTTGAGAGACCGAATACGAAATGATGAGATACGGCGAAGAACTGGAGTGGAAGACGTCATAAAACGGATTACGAAGTTAAAGTGGAAATGGTCAGGACACGTCGCAAGACAGAGACAACAGATGGACAAAGAAGATTTTCGAATGGCGGCCAAGGCAGACAAGCGAAATCGTGGAAGAACCACCTACCAGATGGACGGACGACATTAAAAGAATAGTGACAAACTGGATCGCAGCTGCACAGGACAGAGAAGAGTGGAGACATCTTGAGGAGACCTATGTTCGACAGTGGACAAATTTGGCTGTGTGATGACTCTCCTATAGCCTGATCCTGATGTTCTTGTATACTTGCCATTTTCATTAGACCGCGAAATAGTTCTTTGAACATCACAACGATTTACACCTAGCACCTGGGCAGCATAATATTGGCTACTACCATCTTGCTCTAAAGCCACGGCTCTTGCAGCATCCGGTGAGGTTAATGGCATTTTAATACAATTAAAAATTCTGAACTTAGAATGATTTAGTGCCAAATTTGTATAGTTGATACAATCAGTCCGATTACAAATTTATTATTTTACTTAAGAGAGTGACAGAGAGTGACAGAGATTAGTAACAAGTTTTAATAGTCGCAATAAATGGGAAATATGTTATGGATCGAATTTTTTGCAGGTAAATGTATAGAAGCTAATTGTTTATTTCACGAAAACTTACCACCGATAGTTTTTAAAATATGTACTAACATAATCAAGTAAAGGCTGCATTATTTAATTATAAATAATTAATTTGCTTTATACCGTCAGTTAAAATCGGAATAAGTTAAAAAGTAAAAAGGAAAATAAAAGTAAAAATTTCGGATGCACGTTGTATATTATGTTCTGTTTCTCTAGTATGCAAGTAGTTTCATCCATAGAGGATTAATTGAAGGGGTCTTTACATTGCTAGGAAATAAAGTTTCGATACTTAATGCAAAAGAGTGGTGAATATTTAAAAATAGACCCAATTTTCTTTAAAATAATACGGCCAATTAAAAAATTACAAATAATTTTAGTTTTCCACATATTGACTTATTTTTTGATTACATGGTTAATCATTTCTTTCAATTGTTTTTACTCTCCCAACCAGGTAAGGCAGAATGCGATTTAACAATCTCTATCGGCAGCTTGTAAACGTTCATTTACCCTTGATAACTATTTAAAATGCAAGGAAGTAATCAAGCTAAATTAGACTGAATTAAATGGTGTTCTAGTTTAAGCAAAAATATTGTTATGACAGTTCCATGAGAGTGAGTTGACAGTTTAAAAAACAGTAGTATTTTGAAGTTTATAGTTGGCATTGTGTTAAAGTATATAAACCACAGGTTGCTGTCCAGAAGCCTACTACTATACCCCACTCGTCTCTATGTCACTTACCACAACCTCACGTCCAGCTGGTGCAGGAAGTATAAAGTTTGCAGCTCGTATAACCATACATAGGGTATGCATATTAAGAGTAGAGTAGTCCCACAGGGCGCTCGTTTAGAAGACCGTTTATCAGGATGTGAAGCATCCGTGCCTGCGATCTCGACACATCAATATCACACATTAAAAGAATATTTCATGAACTTCGTAGCAGTCTTTCTGGAAGACATTTTGAAGTCAAAAAAATACTGGCCAGAGTTCGAAACAGATTTTACTAGATTAATTGTCGTCGTAATGTAGAAGATTGGTCTAAGAAATATGATTTATGTAATGGTAGAAAAGCCCTAACCAAGAAGTCGATGGTAAATATGGAAATATATATTTTCGGAGAGCCTTTTGAACGACTTGCAGATGATATTCTCTGTCTACTTTTAACAGCAGACAGAGGAAACAAATACTTAAGGGTTGCAATGAACTTATTTTTCAGAATGGCTTAAAATTTCAGCCCTTTCTTATCAAGAAACGACTACAATGCAGAAGCACACGTGTATACGTCAAAAAAGACATGACGTTCTTTTAGAATTACATTCTGATCAAGGACGAAATTTTGAATGAGAAATTAATGACAAGAATTAATGAAAATCTTGGGTATTGAGTACACACCCAATACCAATCATTGAGTTTGTCAATACCTTTCAATGTTTGTCGCTGATAGCCAAAAATATTGGTTTTAAATAAATAAATAAGCATCCGGTTATTCTCCATCGACGATGATCACCGAAGAGAAATAAAACATTGTTAAGATCTTATTTTCGGAAGATTGCCTCCCAACAAAGAAGAAAGTTCATCCCTGATGTACATCAAAAATTTTAAAAAAAATTAGAAAAGTCTAATTAGTCTACGAATTTGCTGCTCATAAAAGTGTCAAAAGAGATTCAAAGATTTCTGTAGAAAATAAACGCATCTACCGCAACCAGTTGTCAGCTAGAAGTGAACCTAAGGTAGTTTATATCCAGAGATTAGCTCTATATCATGGAACTGATCCACTTTGTTGGCTTCAATTGGTTGTTCATAGATCAGTTATCGAAGCTAATAACTATATAGGAGGAAGCACTGTTACGACAGTTCCTGAGGTTTATTCAATATAGACCTTAACGAAGTCCCTTAACGAAAAAGAAGAAATATTAAAATATCTAAAATATTCAAGATATCTAAAAATCCCGAAATGTTTAGTAATATCTGAAACCTCAGAAAATATATATAAACAGAGATAGTTGAAAGTTCAAACAACAGCAGTATTTTAAAGTTTATAGTTGTCATTGGGTTAAAGTATTGTAATAAGTTGGGGATTAATAAATATTTAAAAATATAACCAGTAAAAAAAGAGGTTAGTCTTCGTAAGGGGTATATTATTTAAAATCCTTAAAAGGGTACATCAAAAAACAAACGTTTTCGACTAAACAGTCCATCATCAGGTTTAAAATCGCCTAAAATAAATATAAACCATTTTAGTTAAAACAAACGTGGTTATGAAATTTTGACTATGGTTAAAAAGCAAAAATGTCTATACTTACTATGTTAAAATGCCTGAGCCACCAATACATGGGTAAAAACCCTTTAAATTACATATAGTTATAAAAGATTATACATCTTGTTGTTAAAAAACTGTGATGTTCAGTATTAAATTAAATATGACTTCAGGTAACATACATTGTAAAATTGAGTTCCAGAGCCGGGGAGTAAACCTCTACACACGGAGAACAGCTGGAAACTGATTTACAATATACCTATGAACGGTGTCAAAAACAAAATGTCAATGTAACATGGAACTATATTAGTTATACCTAGTATTACTACAGCCAAAAGATTCAAAAATTATTTTGATGATTTTAAAAAATAATAACAACAATCTAGGTGTTGGGATTAAAATTTGGGTTATAATCGATGTGAAATCACCAATGGTGTTAAAGTTATGTTTAAGAGGATGACCTGTGTATTAGGCAACCTATGTTACTTTTTGTCGTATGGAATATGGTCTAAAAGTGTATTTTATGTTAGGTTAGCTTATATATATATATATATATATATTATATATATATAATTATATATATATATATATATATATATATATATATATTATATATATATGAAAATTTATCCTTTTATGTTTATCACATCTAGGACAGGTAAAAATTTAATAGCAAATATTTGAAGCTAATATAAGACCTCGTATTTAAAAATGACTGTATTTAAGACTGTTAGTTATGGTGAAAAATTAATAAAGACCATGGAATATAACATGTCTCTTTGCTAAGTAAACATGGTTACAAGTCAATAAAGTGAACTCAAATTTAAAAAAAGTTTGAATGCCATTAGAGGACTTGTTTAATACAGTACCTTCTTCCTGAGTTCAAGATTCTTTGACGCAATCTGATCAAAGCCGTCACATAAATAATCACTTTCCTTTGAAACCTTTTTTCCTTCACTGAATTAGATTGCTCCTTTAAAAACTTTATAACACTTTTTGAATCAATCTTATATATTGTGTTGAGTTAACCATCCAAACGACATAGTTTTATTTAGTCTTAATTACACTAAAAAATAATTAAATATTTAATTATAGTTTTTTGAGAGCTCGACGTACTAAACTGTACCAAACGATCAATGTACGTTTGATGTTTTATCCAATAAGTGGAGAGCATTTCTTAGGCCATTGAGTATGCACCATTTCATCATATGGCTTTACAGCTCAATTCGAGCTCTGTGAGTGTGAAACATTTTTCATTTTTATATTGTTTTATGCATTAATTGCGAATAATTTTTTTATAATATTTTTTTTTTCAATTTTAAATCATTCTATTTCATTTAATAATAAAGACCCGTCATTTTTTTTAATAATTATAAATAACATAAGCATTAAAATTGTCAACTACAGGTCAAGGTTTTAAATCCTCCCTTTTAACTCAGTTGTACGGTTTTATGTATACACATTTAATCAGAGAGTTATTTATTAAGGTTTTATTATTATTACCTATTTAAACCTTTGGACATTTATCCCTTCAGGATATTGTCCTCATTACTTTATTACAACGTTTAGTTGAAAGCCGAAGTACAGAGTTACATCTCTGAGGCAAGTAAATTACCTTTTTAGGTCAAATCAATCAAAAATTTCTATATCTTATTATTTGGAAATTGAGATAATCAAGGATCAGTTGTGTATAATCGGGGAATTTATTTTTTGTATATAATTAACTAGATTAACTGTACATAATTGGTGGTGGGTATTTTAGGGTAAATTGAGATTGTTTATATTGGATAGGGATTAAATTTTTGGTGAAAACTAAATATTTCAATTAATACCTGTATCCTTTTTTTATTTCAGCAAATAGCTTTACAAGATACCTTGGAAAGTTTATGTTAATACTTTCCTGGCGCCTACTCACATTTTGGAGCAACTTCTATATAATCACTTTTATGTACCTTAGTTATATACCTTTAGACTGTTTATTACCTTGTCATTCATTTTCTTATTCTACGGTCTCTGTAGGGCATGCAAATTGGCCGAATCCTCTTTTGAGTGTCAAGTAGTCACTCTCCGGCACCTTCTGCTAGCCAGCTTTAAATTATACGTTATCTCATACATTGCCCCAAATACTTGTGATACATTACACACTTTTATTACATTGACATCCTAAACCTCACAGTCCACAAACACAGTTTTTGTTAAAAACTCAGCAAGAACTTCAACGTCAACAATAGAAAATTTTCGAGCACCTTTCCTTTACCCTAGACCTCGTGCCTTCGGATTATCAAGTGTTCTCGAAACTGAAGAAATTCTTTTGTGGAAAGGAGTTTGAAAACGACGAAGGCTCAAAGATGAAGTGATATCCTGGCTTAGATGTTTGGCTGTAGAAAACTACAGAACTAAAGTCTCTGCCATTAAACAAGTGTCTTTACTAGTGTTCTTATGTCATCATGAAATAATTGGTTGACATAGTAATTTTCCGTGAAAATTTTGCACTAAAATTACAAAATAGTCGAAATATCGAAATACTAAGACAGGCCATTCACGTTCCGACTTGTGGTCCCACTTAGTAGGACTACTAGTTGGATGTTCGTCTCCACTCACGCTCCGACTTTCTATCCAACTAGCGGTCCAACTTCAGTTCTAGGATGTATCGAATAAACACTACGCAAAATATAATTAGGAGGAGAAAAATGACAGCACTGTGCTTGTTATCTTTATATGTATGTTATGATAATTTAAAAATTAGGTTTAGTTTCTCTAGGTATTTGTCTAGGGCTGAACTAATTAATTTTTCAACTCTTGATTTTTATGACTTTTTAAGATGTAGGAAAAAATTATAGTTTTTAAAGATTTGTATAGGTATAAAATCTATATTTTATTTGTTTTAAACTGGAGCTGGGATTTATTTTGTTGTGTGTGTGTCGTATATTTTTAATAGGAATAATTGTTCGTGCAATTGAAAGTTATTTTCTATTATTTTTTTGCGAACTAGGGATCTTTTGCTACAACTATGATTTAATTTTCATTGTATGTTGATAATTCTTCCGTAGCCAATCCGGAGTATCGGAAATTTACCTGTATAGGAATGTCCGAAATAGATCTACAGAAAGGAAAATGATTTGCCCTAACAAAAAGGTAATTTTCGTGCAATTGAAAGTTTATTTTCTAATAAATATTTGCGAACTAGAGATCTTTGCGTAAAGTATTTCATAGAAATCTCATACGTAACAGGTGCCGAAAGTCAACTGACTGAGGAAATTTTCGATCCAACCTGTGATCCGACTTCCAACTTCACCATTCACGCTCCGACTTCGTCGCCAGTCGGAAGTCGGATCTTCAAGTCGTCCCACTAGTCGTACCACTAGTTGTCCAACTAATCCAACTAGCCCACTCACGGTCCGATTTCAGATCCAACTGCAGAAGTTGGACCACTAGTCGTACCACAAGTCGGAACGTGAATGGCCTGCTTAAGCAGTTTCACTGTGTTATCTAAAATTTGTTTTTAGTTGTACCCTTGTACCTCTTAGCAATACTGTGAATCTCTTTTCTTAGATAATAAGACTCTAAAAGAGGGCCACTAATTTGCGCTAACTACATGTTGGCATTGTTAATTTTAACCTGAAATGGTATCTTTAGAATCGGATCAAATATTTGAACAAACCATTTTAACCTTTTTAAAATTAGTAACTAGAAACGTTAAAAATACTAACAGCTAGATACTACTAGAAGATTTTTACACAAACCAGTCTATACATTAACAAACGAAAGGTTCATTATTAACATTATACCTAAAATATGCCTATTTTTTGTGACTGTAAGATCATTTAATTAATTTATTATTTTGTCTAGCTCTTTTACAAATTATAAAACGACTTAAACAGTACACAAACACGCATAGTACTTACGTAAAACAATAAAAGAAAGTATTTTTGTAATTTATTATTTTTTAATTTTTAGGCATGAGAAACTATTCATGTAACATTCCCAGAGGAAAAGGCCTTGGTGGATCCAGTTTGATCAGCGCTATGCTCTACGTCCGTGGTAATCCTGATGATTACAACCAATGGGTCAAGCTTGGAAATCCAAACTGGTCATATGAGGAATGCTTACCTTATTTTAAAAAAGCGGAAACAGCAGATTTTGTCACCCCAGATCAAACGTACCACGGAACTACTGGACCAGTTCATGTTAATTATACTGGTCCTTCTTCTGTAATTAATACCGCGTTCTTCCAAGCTGCAACCTTTGATATGGGATTAAAAATACTTGACTATAATGGTAAAGAGCAAATTGGAGCAGGTCAATTGCAGTCCACTATAAACTTTAACAAAAGAGTGGAAGCTGGATCAGCATATGTCACTCCTATAATAAAAACTAGAACTAACCTTATTGTCTCTCTTCGTTCATTTGCTACAAAAGTTGTAATATACGGAAAAAAAGCTGTGGGCGTCGAATTTATTAAAGATAGAAAAAAATACTTTGCTAAAGCATCAAAAGAAATTTTGGTAACTGCAGGTGCCGTTAATTCTGCTCAAATTTTAATGTTATCAGGAATTGGCCCCAAGGAACATTTAACAAAACTGGGTATAAAGGTATTAAAAAATTTACCTGTAGGACAACACTTGGTAGATCACCCAGTATTTGCAGGATTATTTTTTACCACGAGACTCTCTCAGCCAGAAGTTTCTTTACCAGAACAGGTGCACGAGTATCAAAGTGCTAATACTCCTTTAACTAGATGCTTTGGAGCTGAAAATATAGTTTATACAAATATAAATAACGATAGTAGTGCTGTTCCTGATATAGAATTTATAGCTTATGCACCACCAAGAGGAGGGGATGCACAAGTATTGTTTAATTTTGATGATAACAATAATAATGCTTACAATAAATTAAATATGGCAGGAAGTATTCAAGTGATGGTAAATTTAGCACACCCAGAGTCATCAGGATCTGTCCAGTTAAAATCAAGCAGTCCACTAGATTTCCCTTTAATTGACTTAGGACTACTAACAGACAAAAACAATAAAGATATAAATACCATGTTGAAAGGCATAAAGTATGCTATAAAGTTCTTTACGGGGAAACAATTTGACAATATCGGTTCCTTTATTTCCTTCGAAGTTCCAAAATGTCAATCGCACAAATTTAACTCGGATGCTTATTGGTACTGCGCAATTCGACAGTTGACAATGGGCTACTTTCACCTTACTGGCACTACAAGAATGGGCCCGTGCTATAGAAATTCTGTTGTTAATGCTTCTTTGGTGGTTCATGGAATGGATAATTTGAGGGTTGTAGGAGAAGGTTCTATACCACGTCAAGTAGCAGGACATCTTTATGGACCTGTATTAATGATGGCAGAGAAAATATCAGATGATATTAAAAAAAAATATGAACACGTACAAAATTCTGTAACACGGTTATTTAAGTAAATTATGTTTTTATCAATTGGTTTGGTAACAAAAGTTTTCTTTTATTAAAATTTTACTTTTGTCAGTTCTTAGTGATCTAAATATAGGGAATTTCTTGCTTTTACAAGTTATTTATTGACTTAATAATAAACATTATACTTTGTATATATATATATATATATATATACACATATATATATATATATATATATATATATATATATATATATATATATACCCGGTATTTAGGCAGCACACGCCCTTCCGGTAGGGATCTATGGAGGAGTATCACCAAGCCGCAAGCCTTATCTCTTGCCGTACTGCTCCACCATAGGCCGATCAGACACCAGCATATTCTAGTCTAAGCGGCAGATTCATTTAGAATTTTAAACTTTCTGTTTTCTGTACACCGAGCTGGAGATCGAACTCACTTCCACTGAACCACTCGCGGTGAAGCAAGTGAGAAATCGGCCGCCCAGCCCGCTTGGCTATCTGACCGACTTATACATTATATATATATATATATATATATATATATATATATATATATATATATATATATATATATATATATATACATATATATATATATATATATATATATATACATATTTGTGTGTGTATTGTCGCAGAAAATTGTTATGTTTAAATTTTTATCTTAGAATCGTTTATAAACTTGACTAAAATATTATAAACAGATTTGTCAGAATACGGTAACAGATTGCTGATTTTTACTGGTAGGCTAATGTTGAGATCGATTAAACCCAAATATAGACTTCGAGTCCGTTCCTTATGATTAAGACAATCGAAAAAACAGTGGTTAAAATCTCCGATAGATGCATTATTACACGGACAGACGGGAGTTTCATAGATTCCAATCCTATGCAAATGCTCTGGAAAACGGCCGTGGTTAAGTTTTGGCCGGGATATAAACAAGGAATGTATTTTATTATAGTAAAAAATTAAAATGGGAAATATTTTTTGTTAAGTTTTGATAAATAAAAATGTAATGGTTTCTAATAGTCTTCTGGATATCTTTATATTTTGACCTCTATTTTCCCCGCCAATACTCCTGATAAGAGAAAACAGATCTTTAAGGTAGAAAATGTTTGTAATTTCCGATATCTCAGATGTAGTTTTTGGCATACTGTCCACCAATTGATTTCCAATTACTTCACTATGTCCTTTAATAATTCACTATGTCCTTTGATAGTTCAAGGGAAAATAGACAGCAAAAGGGGTCCAGGGAGGAGAAGACACTCGTGGTTCCAAAACTTGCGGCAATGGTTCGGATTGTCATCTGCGGAACTATTCACAAAGTCAGAATAACCATGTTGATTGCCAACGTTCAGAACGGACAAGGCACATGAAGAAGAAGAATGTCCTTTAACCCAGAATAAAGCAATGTTTTTTTGTGCATTTTGGTTTATGTAACAATCTTTTTTTGATATCTGGGATAACGGAGTTTTGGAAATTATCTAATGGATGACTAGAATAGCTTGTAATACTGCCTAAGAATCTGATACTATTACGATGTTCTCACAACTATTAGTGATACACCAAGTTATTGCTTTTTGTATGGCAGCAGCTTCGGCCGTAAAATAGAACAACATTCTGGAATTCGATATTTCTCAACATATTTCTTGTTTGAAAACAAAAAATTAAAAAGCAGTACTTTTATTAGTTTTTGAACAATCTGTATAAATTATGGTTAAATCTTTTTCTGATTTACTTAGTATGAATTTAAACATCACATTAGTTAAAATTGACAAATATGGCAATTCCTCCTCAAAAGCAGAGGAGAATTTTTTATTCTTCAGTAAGAATTTGATAAATTTTCTATCAAAAGTAAACCCATTTTGTGAACCATTGTTGTATTGAACCATTGCTTTATCTTATGTTTGTTGGGTAACATTTACCTACGTATGTGTACAGGTGGTTCTTGGGCTTCTCCTAGAACTGCTTAGTTTGATGAATACATCATAGCTCCTAGACAAATTTTTATTGATTTAAATTGTTTTCTATTTAGTGTTAAAAGATTTGTTATGCATGTTAAACCATAAAGAATACAACTATAATCCAGAATGGATCATATGTAGGATCTATAAAACATTAAAGAGATATATTGATCTGCACCACATCTTTTTTAAAAATGAAACTCAAAAGGTAGATGAAATAAGATAAGACTTACAATCAATATATTTTACCACCAACATCTGGTTTCGCATACTATAATTTGCTATGCATCTTAAGGTCAACTGTAAACTAAATGCTGAAAAAATAATAACTCGTCTTAGGGTGCTATCTAGTAGGTACAAACTCTATGTAGCAATTATGTCAATAGTATATGTGTGCAATGAATTATTTAAATAAGAATTACGTGAAAAAATGATTGAACGAAAATAAAATTTAATAATATTATTTAATAAAGGGCTTAAAATTGAGCCTCGTGTAAAACCGTTATATGATATTCTTGGACCGTCTAATACATTTCTATGGACACGTAAGTATAGTTTTCTGTTCACATACAAATTTAATATATTAGATATTGTCTATCATCGGTACCACATGCCACCATTTTAAAATAGAATATATTCAAATCAACCACGTCATAAGACACTTTAAATCTAGAAACAAAGCATAAATTCGTTTTTTGAGAAACAGAATCGAATATCCGTAACTAAATGTATAAGAGCATCAACTGTGCCTCGACCTCTATGAAATCCATATTGCGAATATTGAAAAACTGATGTACTTTCAAAAAGATGTTCTAATCTAAATTTTAGTAGCCTTTCAAACGATTTTGTCGCAAATTAGTCTATAATATGATGGAAGTTCTGGGTTTAGGTTGAATTTAAGTAAACGGTAAATGATTATATTTTTTATAGTATCGCAATATTCTTGTTCCAACCACCAACTATTAAAGATTTTTAAGAGAACATCTTTGGCACTTCACTGCTGTTTGTCCAATATCTTATAAGTAAAACCATCTAAACCGGGTGGCGTTCTACTTTTTTAGTGCAAAATCTAGTTCGGAAGAATTAAAAGGTTTTGACGTGGAATCTATATTAGTATTAAAACAAAAAATTTCTTTGTTTATACCAACAGAATTACCCGGGGCAGATAAAAGTGCAAGTTGGTCTAGTATCTGTTTAATAAGATCTTCAGAAAGTTCAGTTTTTTTGTTGTAGGTACTGATAATTATTGGAAATTGATTTTACGGTTGTCCATATTTTTAAGAGAAGAGTGTTTTTGTTCAAACTATTTAAAAAATTTATCTAACTACGTTTTTTCTTTATTTTAAATAATCGTCTGGTTTGGGGTGCTATATTTGACAGTTTATGTAATTATTGTGGTTACTTTGCATTCGATACGCTTTCAATGTTTCTGATCGTGGAGTTAAAGGAGTAAAAGTTTTTTTTATGAGCATGGATTTGAAAGCGACTAAAGAGAGAAAAAGTTACTCTGTGTTCTCACTGTTAGAAAGATTATCAGTTGATGAAAATGTACCTAATTGCTTCTCTAAGTCTCTCTAAAATAGTTTTCAATCATATGATTTTTATTTTTGGTCAGTGCAATGAAGACTGTTTATTGGCATCTAGAGTTTATGGCTAAAAATACCCAAATTGAGGGAAGCCTGACAGAAGTACTTTTTAAAAATTGCAGTTTAGAGCACGGAAACGTAAAATATTTAAAATTGTCCAACCTCAATGTATTACAGACGATTTTAAGAACAAATTTATTGTTATTGGCCTACGAATAAAAAACTCACACACAAATCATCGGCCGTTAGTAGAAAAGCTCTCTCATTCTCTCCCAAGAATAGATAAATTAGAAGAACAACCAAATAATTAAGGAAATAAAATAGTAAAACAACAAAATGATATAAAAAACGATTTAAAAAAAATCAAATAGTACAACTACAAAACAATTTAAAACTCGATTTAGAAAATAAATTAAAATAACATTAAAACCATTTGAAACAACAAAAAAAACTTTTAAGATCTAATGTAGAAAGACAAATTGTTGAGTTAGAAAAAAAAAATTATATCCAAGCTTCTTTATCTAATATTGTACTAGTAACTAATATCGAATAACAACAAACAGCTTCATCATCTTTCATAGTTGAACAAGGCACAATTAGAACTATCAAAATTTTAAAACCACACACATTCGATGGCCAAACAGTATGGAAAACTTATCGTTTTCAATTCGTAGCTGCAGAGCAAATGGCTGGACTGAGAAAGAAGTGGCAGCTTCCTTAGTAGTGTTGCTTCGAGAACAGGCAGCAACCATCTCATAATTTCTTCCCCATGTGCACCCAGTTATACCCCTATTGTCAAAACTTTAGAGACAAGATATGACCTTCTTCTTCTTTAATTGCCGTCTCCCAATCGGAGGTTGGATATCATCATCACTATCTTTACTTTATCTACTGCTGCTCTGAAGAGTTCTATAGAACTGCATTTAAACCAGTCACCTAAATTCTTCAATCATGACACTCTCCTTCTTCCTATACTCCTTTGTCCTCTTAGCTTTCCCTATATTATCAGGCTTAGCAGTTCATATCGCTGTCCTCTCATTACCTGTCCCAGATATTGTAACTTTCTTATTTTTATTGTGTTTATTATTTCGCAATATTTGCCCGTTTCTCGCAATACTTCCGTGTTAGTTTTCTATTGTGCCCATGCTATTTAAGCATCGTCCTGTAACAACACATTTCAAAGGAGTGTAACTTATTTATGTGTTCTTGCTTTAATGTCCAGCCTTTAATTCCATATTGCAGTATCGAAAACACGTAGCATCTCAGTGCTCTTACTCTCAGTTCTAATCTTAGATCTTTGTTGCAGAGAATTGTTTTCATTTTTACAAACGCATTTCTTGCTATTTCTATCCTAGCTCTTATTTCATTTGTTTGATCATTATTGTCTGAAATCCAGGTTTCTAGGTATTTTGTATTTATCAATCCTTTCTATCGGTACATTTCCCAAATGTATGTTTGTTGGTATATTTGTTTTGTT